GCCTCCAAACCTCCCCTGTGGCTATCGGGTGGCAGGAAGATGGTGGACATGTCGTCTCTACTCTGTGGGAGCAGCTTTTTGCCTCAGACCTGCCCCAAAACTGGCAGGCTGTGGCTCAGGAGGGAGGACAAATTTAGTTCACAGTTGGGTCTTACAACCATTTTGTCAGCAAAGCGTGTGGGGTCTTCTCTTCCCCCATGGCGGAGAGGTGGAGGGCTGCATGTCGCTGGCCAGTCCTGCGTGTAACGGGACTGAGGGCTTTACCTGAAGAGGTTCATGGTGTGGCGCAGGGTCTGGCCGTGTGTGTGCTCGTGCAGCCCAGGCCGGAGGGAGAGGGGGCTGCTTTCAGTCCGCTCTTGTTGGCCAACCCCATGCCTTGCCCAAATTGTCCCGTCTTCCTGAGCCAGCACCACGGCGTTTTGGCTGTCAGGGGATTGATCTGGCAGGCCGGCACGAAATGCTGTGAGAATCAATTTTGTCTCAGAAAGGCCCAGGGGAGTCAATATTTCCCCACCAGGACCTGCCTCTCTCCTTCCCCTCATTCAGGCTAACTGGTTGGCCTTAGTTTCAAGGGAAGGCTATCGGGGAGATGAGGAGTGCGGCTGGCAGCCGCCATACTGGTTTTACACAGCCCTCTGTACAGCCAGGGCTTCGTTCACCTGCCGTAGCTGAGCCCATGGTAGTTTTCCCCTCGGATTTTCAGGCTGTCTCTCCCATTTTGTGGCAGGAGTGTACTGGGGGAGCGTGTTGAAAGCTGCTCCTGCCCTGTGGTGTGGCCTGCGGAGGCTAAATGCATCCCTGCCCTCCTTGTCCCTCCATAAACCCACCTGTGGAGCTGGCAGGAGGGACAGCCATCTCCGGCTGGAGACCAGGCTTACAGGAGGCAGGGAAGGAGGATCCGTGGTGCAACCTCGTAACTGTGCTTTTTCTTTTTCTCCTCCCTGCACCCCTCTCCCCTTCAGCTGTCAGCTCAGATGTGTTAAATCCATTTGCGCTCCTGCCTCTCTCCCACCCCTCAAACAACCTCTGGGTTCTCCATTGCTTTCTCTGTCTTTGGCTTTTGATGTTTCAGACAGGCATATGGTGGCCGGCCTGTCTCCCTCGCTCCTTGTCTGTCACCTGCTATTCACCATGGCAGCAGTTCCTGAGGGACATTTGGGTTTAAAGGGTGAGATGTCCCCTCCTTGTCCCCACTCCCGCATCTTTCAAGCTTTCCTTGCTGTAAAGCTTCTCAGACTGTTTTGTCATCTGTGCATCATTAGCAGGGAGATGTTGGGGTTTTTTTACATGGCTGCATTTGAAGAACTTTTTCTGCTTTGGTGTGACATGAAAGAAGGAGGGGAGGAGAGGAGAGGCGAGGCAAGGCAGCAGCATTTTCCTCTTCTGTGAGGAAATCTGCCTCGGTGAGCAGCCCTTGTACGTGGGCTGATGTCGTACGGTGCTCCTCTAGCGTGTGTGTCTCAGGGATGAGTAGGAGACCCCACCCGTACCACCTCGCAGCTTCTTCGCAAAATCTGCGTTAGAATTCACAAAATCCCAGCAGCGAATGTGCGTCATGTCCCTTCGGAACAGATGCCGACACCGCCCATGTTACTCTAGGCCTGTGCTGTGGAAAGTGAAGCCCAGTGGAGGTTTGGAGGTTGTCTGCACCGGGGTGACCGGCAGGGTGAGCGCGTGGTCCCGTCAGCTGCCCCCGACAGCCGTCGGGGGCACAGGGCAGGAGCAGAGCTGTCTGGAAGGGGTGGCAGAGGTTAGGGCAGAGGGCAGACGGTGTGTGTGCTGAGCGTCTTTGCAGATGCAATTACAGAGCCGCGGGATGGACGGTGAATATGTGTCTCTTCCTTACAGTCCGTGGCAACTATCCAGCATGTCGCTTGCCCCGGCCGTTGCTTTTGGGAAGTGCGTAGGCGCTGGGCAGGAGCAAAAGGTTCAGTTTGACTTGATGGCTTTCCATTAAGCTGTAGAGAAGAATCACAGGTACGCAGCAGCCATCCGGTCTTTTCAGCCTTCTCTCCGGAGACCCGGACCCCACAGGAAACCTCTTGTAGTAGGAAAATTCTTTCAAGCTCCAGGTTTTTCCATTCCTGTTTTGATACTGCAAAAAAGCGGGTTTTGCTACTTTGTAAGCAGAGAAAAAGACAAATCTCTTGTGACCACTGGACCTAGGTGGAACTCAAACCCAGCCTTTCCAAGACTGACTTGCTCTTAGCTATCCATGATTTGTGAAGTGATCTAAAATCTGGATTGCAAGTATGTCATCTGGAAAATGCCTGTCTCTGCTTTTTATTTATTTATTTAAAACTGAGGGCCTGCAATCTTGGCAAATGAGGGGAAACACATAAGCCCCACTGAGTGGGCTGCTAGTGCTTCACTTTTACATGGCGCCTTGTTCCTGCCTTTGAAGCCTTTCAAAGCAATTTGCAGAGCTGAAGACTGAATTCTGACTGCATGTTTCCCTGCAAGCTGCGCCTGGCACGGCGGAGCTGTGGCAGTCCTACGCAGCACGTAGGAATTTGTTTCGGCTTTGTATCATCACCACCTTGCCTGCGATAGCGCTGGCTTTCTCTCTCCCAGAGGGGAGAGGGTTGTTCTGCGGTTGGCGTGGGCTGAGTGACAAGCGCTGCAGTGACATGGGGTGCATCGGTGGAGAGCGCAATGGGTGATTTGGAGGGGGGAGGAGGGGGGAGGAATCAAAGTCTGGAGCTCAGAGGCTTGGGCAATTTTAAAATCAACAATTTAGCTTTGATTTTCACCGATTTTCCAAGTGAGTAGTAAAATCTAATAGATTGGTTTTTTGTTTGGTTTCTTTTCTTTTGTCTCTCGCTGTCTAAGAGTGAGTTTACCGTAGCAGTTCAGCAGTAGAGCGAGCTCAGGAAGGCGGCGTTCACAGAGCAACTCACCTTCCCCCTTACCACACACAGAGTCAACAGAGGTCCCCAAAAAGGGATGCTGAGCAATGACTCCAAGTTCACTATCTTTTGGAGCACCGTGCCTTTCTTCAGGACAGAAATAGAACCTCATTTTTCTCCTCAGCTGTGCTGTCGTCATACTGCTTGGGCTCGTTTAAATGTATATGTGACATTAAGGGTTATTAGGGGCTTTTATTTTAAGAATTGAACTTGCATCAATAAAGTGTTCTTAAAAGCCCAGGATGTTTTTGGCTGTACCTTCAGAATTGACTTCTGCTAACTCTTCAGATATTGAACTGAGAAGAGAGGAAGAAGTCAGGTTGCGGCCAGAGTGAGCGTTTATATTTTAGCCTGAAGCAAAGTTTTGGTTTTGCCTTTCTCAGATGGAAGACAGATTCCCCAGTGCCAGTACCTCCAGTGGGACTCGCTTGATAACCTTTAGCTGTAACATTGCAAAGAAGACTCTGACCTCTAAATATAGATTTGGATATTTATAAATCTGATGCTTTGTACACACAGCATTCGGTGGTGGGACGTAAACAGCTCCAGCAAATTGTATTTACCTCCAGCATGGAAACAAATGCTTGATTGCATCACATGAGCTTGCTCAGTGGCTTTTATTTATATACTGCTGGCTACACCAGGCAGGGCAGGGAGGAATGCTTCCTTTTGTCTTTCAACCCCTAAAAGACCCTGGAGACTTCTCTCTAGCTTCCATTTGCCCTCTTCTTAAGGTCTTTGGTAGGCTGTTTACATCTCATTTTATAGACTCTGAGTACGTACATATAAATACACACATTTCAGAGTCATGTGGTCTACTTTTCTCAAGAATAACAGACGGCAACTTTATGATCTGAGTGATTTTATTTGAACACAGCTGTGGCCTTGTGATTTAAATATTTCAATAAATTTTAAACTAACTAGATGAGAGGAAACTGTGCAGGAAAAACAGGTTAGAGCACGGAAGGAGAATTCCCTGAGGGTAGAGGCAATATGGGCTCTGCACGAACACTCCTGACCTCATCCTCCTCTCATCAGAAGGCCTTTGACTCCTTCCTTGGTCAGAAAGCCCATCCCAGCATCCTTTCCCCTCCTTGCAGAGGTGCTCTTGAAGACAGTCGGACGTAGATGGAAATCAGTGGCAGGGGGTGAGGGAGAGGTGCTGCGAGCTCAAGCGTTGTTCCCTTGGGTCCAGGCTGGCTGAAATGCAGCCCCAGGCTCTGAGTGTGTTCAGGCATCACTGCACCTTTGAGCATCTGGTTATGAGAAGAGTTTGAGGAGCTTTTGGCTTCTTCCTTCAGCAGTGTGAATTCCTTGGTTTTCTCAGATGTCTCATGATGCGAAGCGGGGAGAGGAGGGGAAGGGGGAACTGCAGGAGCAGACGGCAGACTTGGCTGCCGTGCTCTTGGTCTTGACAACTGGATTGTTTTGAAATGATCACGACTTCAGTTTGTTGGGCTGATCCTGTCAACTCGCCTGTTCCAAAGGATGGCGTGCCTGTTGCTGTATAAATGTACCAGTGAGGACCAGGGGAAAGATTTGTAGATAAAACCAGAGGTACTGCAAGCCAAGGAGGTTTCACATCCCAAAGTCACTGGCATCAGCCTGTTTCACACCATCATCCTCAAGATCTCATGCGCTCCATTTATTTCATGGTCCTTCTTCCACCTTTTGCCCCTGCCTGTGTTCCTGTAAATCTGCTAGGATCTGAGGAGTGCAATTCAGTGTTTCTAGATGTTGTTTTCAGCTTTACCAACTTTTGGTGATGATCATTAGATGGGCTTTGGAAGGGCAATTTCCCCTGTGCAAAACAGTTCAGAAGTTCACTTTTCGGAAGTAAGAGAGGCTTTGCAATGTCGTCGCATTGAAATCTCTTTGTAGGATCAGGCCCCTAATCATTTTGTGCTGCAGCTTCTTCATTTGTAAAACGGAGGTAAAGACTGTTTGTTCCTAAAAGGTCAAGAGGTTTAATTTCATCTGGGATCATTAGAGAATAGCAGTGATAATGCTACTGTTAATTACAAACAGCGTTTATTAGATTTTTTTTTTCTTTCCTTGTGCCAATGGTGACACTTGTTTTTTTTCTTAAAGGTCCCCCTGTGTTCATTAAAAAACCTGTGGACCAAATCGGTGTGTCGGGAGGGGTGGCCTCCTTCGTATGCCAAGCGACTGGAGACCCAAAGCCACGGGTAACCTGGAACAAGAAAGGAAAGAAAGTGAACTCTCAGAGGTTTGAGGTAAGAGATGTCCTTGAAATGTGTGTCTGTGTATATATAAAGAGAGAGAGACCGACACAACGCAGCCAGTGCTCTTCTTTGGCCATCCTGAGACCTGATAATAAAGGGAGGTTTGGAAGGGGAGGAGTTTTAACAGCAGGAGGAGTGAAATGCAAGCTCTTGGCCATGTCAACAGCTGGGTTTGTTCCAAAGCAAGAGAGAACTTGGCTCACGTACATTATTGGCGTTCTTTCTTTTGTTTTGTTGGGGTTTTCTCCCCTCCTGGGGTATAACATAAAGCTGCCTTCTTCCTTCCCTAAGACACCCCAACTAAGCTGATACTTCTTCAGCTCTGTAAATGCACCTTTCGTACCCATCCATGGCTCGTTATTTTAACCCTGGGACAGCCTGGAGTAAACATTACAGTTGCTGGCAACCAGACGCAAGCAATTGGTATTGTTTAGATAGAAATGAGAGTGGAGGAACAAGGACTAGGAGGTCATCCTGTGGAATTTGCTGTGAGACTCAGCCCTGCCAAGCAGCTGTGTGCTGAGAGGAGCTTTGTGGTGTCAGCTGCCCATGCAGATGGAGGAATAAGGCGGGGGTTCATTTTTATTTTGTTTTCGCTTGGTCTGTTTCCTCCTCCTTCATCACAGTTGAACTCTGAACACCCACCCCGCACACATCAGCACCGTGGCTCATCCTTTCAGGGCGTTTGAGATGTACATGGCAGTTTCAGTGGGTCAGTGGTCAGGGACAGGGTTTGGCATGGGATGGTTCTCTTGTCACCTTGAGGTCAGTGGAGAGACAAGTTGACCGTGTCAGTTGTGTGTAGGGGATTGTGGGGCAGCTGCTGAAGTGTGTTTGTGAGTGTGCA